GACAATCTAGCAGACACAGTGAAAAATGCTTGTTTCAATAACTTTGATACTAAAATTTATATGGTCCGTTCAAGGAACAATTATAAACACCACCTCAAATAAGGAGTGACACAATGCAGCCAGCAGCAGCCAGCTGACTCACCCTGGGAAGCTGTGTACAGGTCAGGATCAATGGCTGGAATGGCTGACACGGTCTGTGGACTAGGCTGGACAGCATTACTCGTTACACCTGTGAATCAAAATCAGAGATATGCAGAAAGTGCTTCATTCCCTAATTTCATATCAGGAAAGAAGACAAAGGTTGGCAATTATTTCACTATTTCAACATTTTCTTGAAACCTTAATTGATTCTGACACATCAATTTGAACTTATTTTACACACTGGAATAGAAAATATGCAGGAAAATATGAGTGTTAACCTTCATGACTAGTGAGTCAATTTTTTTGTTCTTTGAAATTAAGGTTTAACTACATCATTTCCCCCTTCATTTTCCTCCCTCTAACCCTTCCTATGTACCCTCTTACTCACTCTCAAATTCACTGCTTCTTTTTTCAATATTAATGTCTGAATATGTAAATATATATACATATCCTCATATTCATAAACACAACAATGAGCTGCTCATGCCATATCATATAACTTATACATACATGACCACGTGGTCATGCTTTTTATAAGCTTGCCATGTATCTTTAAAGGAAGAGACTTCCTTCCCATCTTTTAATCTCTTAGCCTGCTAAGTACCTCGAGGTCAAAGACACATAATTGTGATTTAAGTCAGCCGAAAAATACAGTTCATAAGTATGTGAAGTTGAACACTGAAATTCTCCAGCTAATGCTTTTAAGGTGTTATTTTTACAGGTAAATGAATGATTAGTCTGAGTTCCTGTCAAGACTTGTCAAAGCTCTCAAATCAGTGTGTGCCTAGCAATAGGCTCCAGGTACAGCCTATTCCTCACTTAAACTATTAGCAGAATGCACTGAACTCGTACAAAAGACTATACTGACTCGACAGCAGGGAAAGCATACGAAGAGAAGCTGACTACTTCCAGAAGCCAAGTGATCTCCGAAAATTCAAAATTCTGTATGCATGTGTCTTATAAATAAAATTAGTTCTACATAGTATACTACTCTGCTTTGCTGTTAGCTGCTATAATTCCAGATTAACAATACAATTCTCACTTTCTTCTTAATGGCTTTATAATGCTCCTTCTTTTCTATTTTTAAATCACTATTTAAAAACCAATCCACTATTTAAAAAAACGATGCACAGAACTACAGTGGATATACCTATTACTGAAAAGCCAGGAGACATATAAAATTTATGCTGCATAATTCACTGACCTTTTGCTTAATTATGATGAGTTCTAACAAAGTATATTAAGCAATTAGCATTTGACATACTTTCCCACACAAACCTTTAAAGGCATATATCAAGGTAACATTAAAAAGGATGTTAGAAGTCAGGTCACGGTGGTGCATGTCTTTAATTCCTGGATTTGGGAGGCAGAGGCAGGCAGATCTCTTTCAGTTTCAGGCCAACCAGGGCCACACAGTGAGACTCTGTCTCAAAAAACAACAAAATAAAACAAAATGAAAGACAAATGTGATAAAGTCAGGAGATCTGATTAGGACTGTTCGTGAAGCCTAGGAGGGCTTTTCAGTAGCCATATCTTAAGTGCATGAACATGGCTGCGCACATTCTCCAAGCAGGTAACTCTACTCCTTCCCCAGCAACTCATACTCATCCATAGATTAAATCTTTCAACAGACTCAAGGAAGGGCATACTTTTTGGCCAGCATTCTATGGCAAGTTTTAAATGATTCCGTGTGTAGGTCCTATGAACAAGCTGCATTAGGAACACAGTAGAATTCACAGAGGCTGCTTAGTTCTACAGCAGTAGTTCATGTGAATAATGCTTTAAAAGGCTATGTGAATCTTACTAAGTTTTTGGTCAGTCCTTCAGCTGTCATCCACGCCTGAGGCAGGATAGTCTGGACATGTCTCTTCCTGTTTGTCTTGAAGCCCTTTTTGCAGCCACCAAGAGCCTAGAATACTGGACTGATGTAAGTTCAAAAATACCTGGTAAGTTGGTAATGTTTTTTAGGTTACTATTTATTCACTAGGTGCTCTAATCTGTTCTTTTTTTCTCTGTTCTGGATTTGGAATGGACACTCTGGGCAATCTACACAATGATTGCAACTCTTAGACTATAATATGTTGGAGTGAAGTAATCCTTTACAATGCACTACTAGGAGGAAAGCAGTGAGTTTGAACACTAATTCCTTTATGTTACTCATTAATAAAATGCAATAAAATGTTATGACAGAAAGTAACTTCTGAGCCACACTTACGCAGCATATTAGAAGGCATTCATACATATGTGTTCAAGAATACTGTTAACATTTTTTGTTAAGTAATATCTTGTTCTACAGGCTAAATGGCATAGAAAGAAGGGTGACATAAAAGAGTTAATTAGGAAACTAAGGAAGATTGTCTTTAAGCTTTCAACAGAGCCTTGAAATGGAGTGGGGTTAGAGGCCCAGCAAAGGTAGGAAGACACAGCTACTCTAACCTATAAAGAACACCAGAATCAAAGGTAAGAAAATCAGAGGACGGATATGACAGATCCCCCATGTAACCAGGGGAAATGGCACTGAGAGAAAAACACAGGCTAGGATGTCAACAAGCAGATGATACCACACAGAACCCAACAGTATAACTTCTCCCTCCAGTTCCTCACAGAGCTCAGGTCTGCAGTGTAGTAGGTGAGAGGTCAAAAGACTAGCAGCAGTTGGGTGTGGTGGTGCAAATCTTTAATTCTAGTACTCCTGAGGAGGATAAATATGAATTAGGGGCCAGATTATCTACATAGAGAGTTCCAGATCAGCCAGGGCTACATAGTGAGACTCTGTCTCTGGAAAAAAAAAAAAAGGCTAGCAGTAATAATACAGTTGTACCATTTTTATGGAGCTAATTTTCTGCTAAGGCCTTCTGTGATACAGCCTACAAGAACCACACATTTTGAATTTTGAGAGACACAGTGAACATTACTAATGTCTCCATGTGTTATTTGCTCAGTGGCTAGCACAGTGGCAAACACTTCGAAACAACCACCATTCCTGCCCTCCTTGCACCCACTGCTTTTCTGTGGAAGAACTAAAGCTTCTCAATGAGTACATATTATTCTTTTCAGCTATCTGAAGGATTTCCCTTTGATAAAAGTGCATCCTGGACCTATTACATGAGAGAAGGTAAATCACTCTTAAAGAGAGCCAGAGGGGAAACATCTGTTATGTTTATAAACTAAAAATGTTATTGCTTTCTTTTATTTGACAGCTATGAAATGAGTAAATGTAACAGAAAAAAATAGAGTTAAGAGGAGATCTGGCATCAAAAATCAGTAACTAAACAGAGGCATGCCACTGAGAAAGCCAGTTTGGGTTAGAAAAGATTTAGATCCTTGTCTCCCAAGGATCACACACAAGGGACACAGAGAGGAGGAGGCAACTTCCTAACTAACTCAATGAAGTCAGAGTCTTGAGTTCAAATTCTTGCTCTTCACTGGGTATGTTTCTTAGAAGGTTTTTACTTTTATTTGCTTCTTTGAAGAATGAAAGAGGATGTGGGGAAGGGATAACCAGGATATAAAAATATGCTATATTTATACACATCTGAGCAGGTAGGGAGAGACAGAAAACACAACCAGCACATGTCTCAGTTAACCAGATCAAGATGCACTGTGCACACTAGAACACTTCCTAGAGTCTACTTTCTAATATTTATCATTATCATGAATATTCACAATAATAAGTTCTGACTATTAGTGTGACCACATGAAGCTATCAAGATTTTAATGATTTCACTGTATAAAATGTTAATTTCATATAGGTCAATTAAACAGTCCTCCAACTAAAAGTATGGTTTGTTGTTTCACACACATACACCAGGTATGTATGGATCCAGGGTGAGTAACTTTACTACAGAACTGCCCTCAGATCTCTTTCTACAGTAGTACCTTTCAGGTAACCTTTCCATACACTCTACACTGACATGGTATTTGTCTTGATTCACAAAATAATTTGGAATGTTCACTAACTTGTCACAAACAGCTCTGTTTCTCTGGCACAGAGGAAAGAAGAAGAAAAGAAGGACATGAATCTGTAGAATGAGTATTTCTGTATTATAAGTGCCAGTCAATTTTATGCTTTCCCCTCTTTAATAATTAAGCAGAAAAAATAGGTACTAACTTCATCCTAGAAAGAAAAAAAAAAACATAGGGCGAGGGAAGTAGATATTAGATGAGCTATGACAAATTATAGTCTAGTGGGAACCAGAAGACCTTGGGATCTGGTTCAAAGGCATGGCATGCTGCTTCTGAAAGAATGCCAGTGTTTACTCTGTCAGGTACATTCTGACCAGAATTGTCCTCTTGCAGATTCGCTTGGGTAGCTGGTTTTGCTCAAACACTCTAGATTAGAAATGATGAATGTTTCTCACATTTGAAGACTATAAAACATTTAAAACAGTGTTTTATAGTATATGTACTAAACCTATTCACAGTAGCTGACCTAGCTGTGTCATGACACAAACCTTAAAGCCTTGTAAGCCAGATGAATTACACTCCACAATGACACAAGAGACTGAGGATAAAACAATCAGTTTCATCAATAATAAAAGTAATATATTAACAATATAAACAAAAAGCATTAAATTTTAAAATGGGAAGAAAAAAATGTAATTGCTATTTTAATGGTGAAAATAATTTTTAACTAATTGTGAAACCCATATATGATGACCTAAAAGGTTTTGATGAAATGAGATTGGCAAATGAAAGCCCAAAATGTAAGGGCACAGTGTCACAGCAGTCGTGGATGTCATTATGTGGACCAGAGACAAGTGGAGAGCCTTCCTAGAAACATTCTATGTGTACGACTGAGTGTGCGTAAGTGTGAGTATGTGGTGCACGTGTATGCGTTTGTGTGAGTATGGTGCTTGTGTGTGGTCTAAGTATAGGCAGTGTATGAGAATGGTTGTGTGCTGAGGCCAGAGAAGGACACTGGCCTCCTGTGCTCTGTTACTCTCAGCCTTCCTTTAAGGTAGGATTTCTCAAATAGCCTGGATCTAAGCTACCAGCTAGCAAGCCTCAGCAACACTTGTCTCTTCACTTCCTGATGTTGGGGTGATAGCTGTGTGTGTAATCATGGCCAGTTTTTTATGTGGGTGTTGGGATCAGAATTTAGGTCCCCATAATTCTGGTTACTCATTAGCCTATGTGCAGCTTCAGAACTCTCGAGTTTTTATGAAAATGGGGACAGAGTATTGTGTTTATACCTGTGCTGTGTGGCACTTCTGCAGGGGTATTAGCTGGAGCATGTGCACCTGGAGGAATCTGTATCCCACTGTAGCTGCCTGTTGCCAAGTTGCTTGGGTCGTATGTTGAAGATGACGATGGCTGAGGTGGCTGGGTGGGCAGAGAGGTTGCACCAACATCTTCATTTTCTTCAACATCTGTATATAACACACGTAAACTGTTGAAGCAGGGATTTGAAATACAATGACCAAATACTTTCACTTTCCTCTACTCTCACATGACAGAAGGAATCTACAAATACAATTTCACCTACATGTAGCTAATAAGCAGGCTATTTCCTGAAATCGTTATATTTTTAAATTTTTTATTTTTAAGAAGTTTGTGGCTGACAATGAACAGCATTTCTTTTGGACAATGTCCACCAGGCCTACACATTTGCTACACACACGGTTATTTCTATTAAGCAAACAAACTTCAAATAAAAAAAAGGACATTTTTGGTAAAATAGGTCACATTTGTGCTGTCAAAAAAGGACTGTTTTTTGATAATCATCTTTTATTCCATATCTTCTATATGTAGGCTACTAAATGATGGTCTATTACTATCAAAGTAAAATACAATATTTTGCTTTCTATCACATTGCCAAGTATTTGTCTGATTATACATACCTCTAAAAGTAAATTATTTTTTAAAAAGTAAATCAAATTACTACTCTGAGATAAACATTTTTCTAGACAACTTTGTGAATATATTTATACTTCAAATATACTGAAATCCTTTTCCCATATCCAGAATTCTTAACAATGACATATAGCCATTTTAATATCTGATAAGACAGACTTCAAACCAAAACTATTCAGAAGAGATAGGGAAGGACATTACATATTCATTAAAGGTAAAGCCCATCAGGAGGATATTACAATTCTACATATTTACACACAAAGCACAAGGGCACTGTATTTCATAAAAGAAACATACTAAATCTCAAATTACATATTAATCCTCACACACTGATATTGGGCACCTAACTCCAATATCCCACTCTCATCAATAGATAGACCATCCAGACAAAATGAAACAGAGAAATGCTAGAGTTTAGCAACCTCATAAATCAAATGGACCCAACACACATCTACAGAGCATTATACCACAACACTACAGACACACTTTCTTTTCAGTAGCTTATGGATCTTTCTCCAAAACTGAACAAGTATTGGGACACAAGGCAAGTCTTAGCAGATATAGAAGAAATGAATCCTATTTGACTATCATGGATTAAAGTTGAATATTAACAGCAAAAGAAATGACAGAAAGTATACAATGTTACAGAAGCTAAACAATTCTCCAGTGAATATAAACTGGGCCAGGATAGTAATGAAGTCAGAAATTAAAAACATTTTAGAGTTACATGAAACTGAAAATTGGTCATTCACAAACTTAAGGAAACAGTGTAGGCAGTTCTAAGTGGCAAATTCATATGACTAAATGCTACATCAAAAAACTGAAGACACCTCATATTAATAATTTAATGATGCATTAACACCATTTCCTCAAATTATTTGACAAAAGTGAAACTGAAAGAACATTTACAAATTCTTTTTATGAAGCCATTATCAGCCTAATGCTAAAGCTACACACTCAAAAAAATTATACAGTAGTATCCCTTATGAATATTGATGCAAAAAACTCTCAATGCCTGCAAACCGAATTTAAGAAAGATTATCCACCATGATCAAGTTTGCTTCATCCTGAGACACACACACACACACACACACACACACACACACACACACACACATTCACAAGTTCCTAAGTGTAAACTACCATATAAATAGCCCTAAAGACAAAAACACAGCATCATTTCATTATATGCAAAAGGGCCTTTGTCTAAACATAAGATCTCTTCATGATAGAGGTACTGGCTAAAGATAAAAGGAACATACCTCAACACAGTAAGGGAAATAACGGCAGATTCATATCCAGCATCAACTTAAATAGAGAAACTCAAAACACTTTCACTAAAATCAGGAGCAAGACAAGGATATTCTCTACCTTCCTATTCACTAAATTACCTGAAGTTTTGCTGGAGCAATAATGTAAATGAAGGAGGTCAAAAGGATATACATGAGGAAGAAGGCAAAGTATCCTTGTTTGTAGATATGACTTTATGCATAAAAGATGCTAGAAACTCCACTAGGAACCTTTTACAGCGGATAAATACTTTCAGCAAAGTAGTAGGATTTTAAAAATAAAATTAACACAAATTAGTATTCCTATATACACCAATGATAACTAGACTGAGGAAAAAAAAATCAAGGTAACAGTATCTTTCACAATAGCATCCCAAAATATACTGGGCTAACTCTACCTGAGAAAGTGAAAGACTTGTATGAAATAAACTTTAAGACACTGAAAAAGAAATAGAAGATAACAGAAGTTGTAAAGATCTCCCATGCTCATGGATCAGTAAGATTAAAATTGTGAACATGACTATCCTATCACATATGATTTACGCATTTAAGAAAATGTTCATTGAAATTCCAACACAATGCTTCACAGAAACTAAACAACAAAAAATGACCAACTTCATATGGAAACGCAAAAACCTCAGGATAGTTAAAATTACTCTGAATAATAAATGAACTGCTGGAAGTATCACCACTCCAGACATTTCAGATTGTATTGCAAAGCTTTAGTAATAAAACAGCATGATATTAGGAAGACAGAGACAGAGAGGGAGAAGGAGAGGAAGTAGGAAAAATAAAAGGGAGAGAGACAGACATTGGTCAATGGAAATGAACTGAAAACCCAGAAATAAGCTCCCAAACCCCACACATCTATTTTTGATAAGCATGCCAAAAATATATACTGGAGAAAATATAGAATCTTTACAAATGGTGCTGGAATAACTGAATAGCTGCCTGTAAAAAAATGAAGATAGATCCCTCCTGATTATCCTGTACAAAACCAACTTCAAATAGGTCAACGATCTCACCATAGTACCAGATAGCCTGAATCTGCTATAAGAGAAGTGACGAATAGGTCTCAAGTCACTAGGACTAGAAAGGACTTTCTGAACAGGACACCTATAAAACATTTAATAAGTGGAAACTCATGAAGCTAAAAAGATTCTGTACAGCAATGGATAGCATCATTTGAGCAAAGCAGCAGCCTGCCAATTAGGAAAAAAAATCTTCACTAATTAGATAGGGTTAGTCTAATAAGAAAGGGTAAGTATCTAGAATATATAAAAAACTTAAAAAACAAAAAACCCTGAGCATCAAGAAAACAAATAACACAATTAAAATACGGGACATAAAAACTAAATAATTCTCAAAAGATGCAACAAAACTGGCAGAGAAACACTTAAAAATGTTCAACATCTTTAGCTGTCAAAGAAATGCAGATCAAAACTATTTTGAGATTTTTGTGTTACCACAGTCAAAATTGCCAAGACCAAGCAGATGCTGGTGAGGATACAGGCAAAGGGGACATAGTTATTCACTGCTGGTGGTAGTGCAAATTGGTACAGCCACTATGAAAATTAGCATGGCAGTTCTTCAAAAGTTGAGAATCAATCCACGTCAAGATCAGCTTGGGCATACACCCAAAGGACTACATCTTACTACAGAGATACTTGCTCAGTTATGTACATTTCTGCTCTATTTATAATAGCCAGAAATTGGAAACAGACTAGATTTCCATCAATGGATAATGATGAATGGATAATGAAAATGTGGTACATTAACACAATGAAATTATTACTCAACTGTTAAGAAAAATGAGATTACAAACATTTCAAGTAAATGGATGAAGCCAAAACCAACCAACCAACCATTGTGCATGCATATATATATATATATTCAGAAAGATAAATATCACATGTGTGGATGCTAGTTTTTAAGTGCTAGATACATATGATTTATTTAGAGTAACTACAGAGAACAAGTAGGTAGGAAGAGATGTGGGGATCTTCCAAAGAAGGGGAAATAATATATGTTAGAAAGAGATAATGAAAAAACTAGAATAGGAAGATTAAATGGCGGATACAGATGGCAGGGTAGGATAAAGGATATGAGAAAGGGCAACTAACACTAAAAGCTTTTAAAAAGTCATATGGAAATCTATTACTGTAGAAGTCCTCTTAAGTATATACACATATGAAAATAATTAAGAAGAATTACCATATAAAGTGGGAAACAATACCCTAACTAGGTATCTTACACCACTTAGTAAAACAATTAGTACCAGGGATGGTTATCTTTTGTAGAATCACTGGCCGATGGGGTTCTTATACATTACTTGTCCAAGTATTATAGTCTACTGCCAATGCTATTTCTATTGCTGAAGATACTATGTATGTTATCAAACATGGAGAAATTGAGCTGCTCCCAACTAAAAGCTTCACCTCTGCTTACTAACTGCATACATTGAGTTGGAGAGTAATACACGAAAGAGAAAAATAATCATTATATTCAAGTTACGCACCCTGTGACTTACAATAGTGACTTGCCTGCAAATATACTGGTGTAACAGTGGCACAATGCTATAGAAATGACTAACCAGTTTTACAATTTGACTAAGGCCTACCTTGTAATACTGAACCAATTTCTGACACTGCTAAAGTGGCCAAAAATCTGTAACTGGATAAGTTACAGGCCCTAGATCAGTGGTTCTCAATCTGTGGGTAGAGACTCCTTTAGGAGTCAAATGCAAATCCCTTTTATAGGATTCAACTAAGACCATAAGAAAAAAACCCACATAGTTACATTATGATTCATACCAGTAGCAAAATTACAGCTATGAAGTAGAAACAAAAAAAATTTATGGCCGGGGGTCACCACACATGAGAAACTGTATTAAAGGGTAAGTAACAGAACACAAGTGATAGGAAAACCGAGGAGGAATACTAAGGAAATGAGAAGAGACAGGTTATTCTAAAGGAAGGGTATGTGAAAAGTCATATGGACATCTGCTACTTTGTCAGAAGTGGGGCACGGAGGCAGGAGAAGTCAAGGTTGGCAAAGAGGGAGAAACTCAAGAGGAGTGATCTCATGCAAGGTGGGATAATGTGTCTAAAGACAATGGGTTATTAAAAATAAATATCAGTATCAGATGTGGGATACCCCATGAGCTGTTAGTCAAGGAAGCCCGAGAACCACCAAATCAATCTACAATCTTGTTTATGTCTTCTGGTTGGCTACCAGACCTAGGTGAGAAGACTCACTACTGAAGACATTCTACATGTTGACTCCAGGATACAGAGAACTGAGCTAGAACTAAACTGAATGTTTCCTTTCAACAGTATAACCATTATAGTACCTGCTGAAGAGTAAAGACAAGCTATTGGCATCAACAATTGTACTTGGCTGTAAGCCCTATAGACTATAATGCCAACATGTAGGCAAGATGTGCACAGTGCTACAAAGAACGGCATGACTGCTAACCACCTGATCTCTCAGTAGATATGAGGTCAGCTTCCCAGCAGGGAACCCATGCCTGTAATAAAAGTCCAACCTGTGTCTCTGGTGATCTTAGGCTCTGGGGAGAACTTACTACTGCTGATTTTCTTAATTGTCATGGTGCTAGTATATCAGGCCTCCTTCAAAATGTCCATATTTATATCTGTCATAGTAGCCTTAACCGTCAATTTGATATGGCCTAGAGTCACTTGAGAAGTGAGTCTCAATTGAAGGGTTGCTCATATTAGATTGGCCTGCGGGCAGGTCTGTCTGGGACTGCTTTGATTATTATTTGATGTAGGAGAGTCTAGCCCACAGAGGGCAGCATCATTCTCTGGGCAAGGAGCCCTAGGCAAAATAAGTATATGCTTCCAAGCTAGCCAACAGGCAGCATTCTTACATGGTTTCTCCTTTTAAGTCCCTGTTGAGCTCCTGGCCTGACTTTCCACACTGATGGACTGTAAAACCTATAAGCAGAAATAAAACATTTCCTACCCTAAATTAACCTAAATTGGTCAAAGTGTTTTTGCCACAGCAAGAGAAATGCAATTATAGAAACTCACAGAAAAATACTACTCTCAGCCATGATCCAAGATGGTTTCTCTTTGCAATGAAAGGTGATGTACAGAAGACTCACTGCTACTCAAGTTGCTAAGAGTGACAGATATTTTACCTTGAATAGGACATTTAAACCGCCTCTGAAAAACTAAGGGACCATCATCAAGAGGAGAAAAAATAAGATCAGGAAAATAGGGAGGAGGTCTGGGAATTGCTAAATTATGAGAATGGCATAGTAAATGTAATCATGATCTTACAACCCCAGGGCTACATGATTGGAAAGGGGCTCCCAGGGTCCTACACCTTTTTTTTTTTTTGATTGATGGTCTCATTCTGGCGAGGAGAAGACATCTTCAGTTATACTCTCACTGATGAGTTGACCAGGTTCTAATGATTAGTTTTAATCCTTGGTTACACAGATGGCCACAGACCAATGTGGGAAGAGATTTACAGAGAGAAAAGGAAGGGAAAGGGCATTTGGAGGAGTTTATAGAGTGTAGGCGGTGACAAAGTATGAGGAGGCATTATGTACATGTATGAAACTGTCAAACAACTTAGTTAAAAAACAAGACAAAAAACAGTGGCATTTGACTGCAGAGTTCTGTGGCTAATTCTTTCAAAAACTGGTATTATCTAGGTTATTTCTACATTCTGAATAATTAGAAATAAAGCTCTTATATACATTCACATATAGTCCTTTGTGTAAACACATATTTGCCTTTCTCTAGGACTGTGGTTCTCAATCTTCCTAATGCTGTGACCCTTTAATACAGTTCCTCATGTTGTGGTGACCCCCAACCATAAAATTATTTTTGTTGCTACTTCATAGCTGTAATTTTGCTGTTATGAATCATATTGTAAATATCTCTGTTTTCTGATAGCCTTAGGTAACTCCTGTGCAAGGGTTCTTTGACCCTCAAATGGATTGTGACCTACAAGATGAGAACCACTCTGCTTGGGTTAATAACTGGACTGCCAAGTTTTATACTAAGTATATGCTTAATTTAATACCTTTGCTTTCTTTTTCCATAAGGAATCCATAAGTTATAGCTGGTTGGCATTACTGCCAGAACGCTGACAGTCATTACGAATACTCTAGATTTTAGCATGTACATGGGCTTTCTTTTGGTTTATGATTAATGATTTCAGCATTGCTCCTAGTGGTCGTGTAGCACTAGGACTTATCTGTCTTCTCCTATTTTATTTTTTTAATGTTTTAAACTAAAACAGAATTATATCACTCCCCACTTCCTCTCTCCAGCATTCTCAGCTACCTTCACTTGAACACCTTTCATACCCTGAGGCCCTCAAGTTGATAGTTTATTTGATTACAGTCACATGTGTGTGCATGTGCGTGCATGTGCACATGTACACGCATGTGTGTAAGTATGTATGTGTATGCATAACTGTATAGAAACAAGGCCACATCTCCTTACAATACCACTCCTGATGGGCCAAGCATATTCAAACCACCTCAGCAGTCATTACTTACCTATACTTCCTTGTCTAGGGGCGAGATCCTGCAAAAGTTTTCCTCTTTTCCATTAACATGTCCCCTGATACTGTCATTTTCTGTTTTCTTTACACAGCCATTCTGAGGAGAGACTACTTCACAGCACACTTCCTGGTATTCTAGGTCTTATATTCTTTCTGCCCCACCTTCTACAATGTTCCTTGGAGCTACAGATACTCAGCATCACTGTCACGTTTGTCAGTTGATACATACATGCAACCTTGTACAGGTATGCTTGTCTCTGTAGAGAACTGTAACTTAGAGTTAATGGGAAGGACCACATTTATATCTGGAGGTTACTAAAATGAGTTGAAAACACGATTTATTTCATTAGTGTAAATCTTCTTATTAGGTGGGCACAGATGAAGAATAGTGCCAAAGAAAGTTTCATACCCCCCCACCCCCAAACATACACACTTTTTTGTCTCTTTAATTTTTTCGAGGTAATATTTGGCTACATAAACCTGTCTGTCTTCTGCTCAGAGAAATCCTTCAGTCTCAGTTTTCCAGTGTGCTAGAATTAAATGATAGGCAACGGCCACCATACTCAGCTACACAGAAAATTTTTCCAAAGCATTAAAGAGCAGATAATTGCCAGTCTATTTAAACTGTTCCAAAGAATAAAAAATGTATGAGTAAATTTCAAGTTTTATTTATAAATATATTTATCTATATGTATGTGTTATATATGTCCCAGTGAGTGTAGGCGGCCATAGAGGATTGAGGAACTGGATCTGAAGCTAAGCCTGAAACTGGGGATACAAGTGTTCCTGAGGCAGTCCATGAGTATAATATTTTAATCCCCTTAAAAAAATTCTAGGTCAACTTTAGTTATAAACATCATTAGTGCAAACATTCTCATTACAATAATAGCAATGGATGGAATTCATCTGTGTAATAAACATCATGACAAGTGAGATTTAGTCACAATGAAAAGCTGGACAGTCTCACCACTCTATTCAATACAATGAGAAAATAAGTTAGACTGTAGCTAACATGATACTGAACAGAACCCTGTATACCTGTCTGCTCACTGCCCACAGTCACTTCTCCACTGTAACAGCAGAATTGAACTTATGTAATAAGGCTCACAATAAGTTCACAAGCTTAAATATACTACCTCATCCTTTAAGAAAGCTTAATGAGTCCTATAATAAATGATGATCTCCACAGATGTTCCCATATCATTTCATAAAGTGTAAGGATCATTTGGACTTTTCTCAGTTCAGAGAACAGTGTTATTCTCTTTTAATTTATTCTAAGTTATTGACTACAAGTTAATTTTTTTTTAACATGAGAAACATTTTCTCCTTCCTTTTTTATCCCATATTAACTGACAGGTCAAATAAAGATAATAAGATAGTTATATTTTTCATTATTAAATAATATAAACTTACTATACAATAATGTCAAAATTCTTCTGTATGTAGTTTTCGTTTTTCCTAAGTGTAAAACACTATATTCTAAACTGTGTGGGAAAAGTGGAGACTCCATGTATGCATGTATCCATCCACCCATCCACCCATCCACCCATCCATCCATCCATCATCCATCCATCCATCCATCCATCCATCCATCCATCCATCCATCCTTCTGTTTGAAAATTCATAAAATAATGACCTCTGTAAAGATAAACAAAAAGCTAATGTCTTTACTCTGAGTTTTGGTAGGGTCTAGGAAGACAAGTATATGGAAATGAGAAACCTATTTCCCACTGTTGTACACTCTGTAATTTTGGACCCATGTAAAGTATCACCCCCTGCCCCTACCAATACATATCAAATAAATACATAAAAATATCACAGCACTAATACAATATTCACTGGAGTTTGGGAACACTTCTAGGTCACATTGTAAGTAGACTATCTTTCCTATGCAGGGATGAAATCTGGGCAGATATAGGAGTCCACCAAGCCACTTAGCTAACATGGACAAAGAGAACATGGAAAGCCTTAATCTTACCTGTCCCTAAATTCCTGGTTTTATAATTACTATAAATGAAAAATTTGCTAGTACTTTCTGATAACTTTGAAATCTCTGAAAACTTAAGATTCTACTAAAGCATTTCTATTAAAGACTCTACTAAAACTTAGGATTAATAAATACATACCGTTCTCTTCTTCTATTCCAACAGGGCCTGCTTGAGGAGTCTCCCCATTCTTTAAGCAGTTATGAATATATGTTGCCTTCCACCTTGCGTACTTTCTATGTTTCACATTCTAAAAGGGAATATATTTGCAGCAACATTAGACCAGGGTAAAATTAAAAGGAGAAGTACTTAACATGGGCTAAGCCATATTTCTGAGAATCTGGCTATCTCTATATTCTACTGCTGATTCTTCAGTGGTCAGGAACTGGGGACTCCGTGAGAAGGCATTTTCATTAGAACACCATGGCATCACATCACCTCACAAAATTCGTCAGGGAAGCATATGTGTATCTTGCCAGCAAAATTTCTAACTCTTGAGAACCTAAAGAAATTGGTTAAATGGAATTTTAAGATAAAATATAAAAGAAACTAATAATTGTTCTGTAAAGATATATACAAATCCTTGAAAATAAAAATAAGACTTACATGATAAAAATGTTATGGTGGTTAATTTTAATTTCTAAGTTGTCATGTATTACCTAAGTACTTGATTTGACCACCTTAGTTCTCAAGAGGGGAGCCAGAGTCAGTCTCATTCTGTTGTCTAAAGAGGAACCCAAAAACACCACTCAACTCAGGAGCCTGGAGTGCTTTCCTGCTTCAGCCCCTAAGACTGGTTCCTATATCCCTCCCTCCCCCCAAGTCTGATTGCATTCTGCTCAACTTCTTTAACAAGCTTTTCAAAACAGCTGTCCACACTCCGAGTTTTATTGTTTAGCTCACTGGCATGTGTACTTGCTTTCTCTCTTTTCTGTCCACTCATACACAAAGTCATACAATCTGAATGTGCCTACAAGTGGCATGGTCTATACCTCATTACTCATCAGAGGGGCTTTTTTTTTAAAATAATGTCACCAATAACCTACTCCTCTGGGGCAATCTCAGATGCCATTTCCAGCCTCCTCTGTCATACGTGACAGCAGTACATTAAGCCCTGGACCACTTCTGTTTGTTAAACCTTAGTCCTACTCTGTGACACACCTTTTCTCCTACCTCAGTTTTTGCTACCTAAGCCGCTATCCAGCCTTCAAATACTTAGAAGGTTTCTCCTGTTCTAGCAGAGACTGCAAGCCAGTGGAGCAGTCAGTGTCACTTATAAAGGACTTTACAACAATACTTATGTTTCCCACAGTAATAGCAAAGTGACAGGAATCCATTATTTCTAATTTTCTAAGAAATGAAGGCTTTGAAACACTGGGGCTACCTTTATATTTGGCAGTGTGTCTGGTGTCTGAGCTTCGTGGCAGCTCCTTCAGAAGATGTATACTCACGCGGATTCATGCATATATTATCTCTCCCCTGCTCTCCCACTGCCTTCCCTCTCTCCGCATCCCAGGTTCACATCTTAGCATTTATTATCAGGTACAGTTTGTCACCTCACAGCAATCTGTCTTTCTTCCTTATTCTTGCAATTCCTACAAGCATCGGGACAGCATTCACTGAACTTGTTTCTGTCAGTCTCCATATTGATTTATACAGCTTCTGCCATCTTTATTAATCTCAAATGTATACATCTAGTCTGAATTTGCTTCTGATAAATATCTGATGATGCGGTATTTCACTTCAAAGTCACATACACAACTAAATTAATCTGCCCCAAACTGCTTTCTTGATTCTCCCCAGCATCTCCTCCTCCCAGTTAACTTCATTCACTGAAGACAGAAATCAGTGGGAGTCATGTTGAGCACCCCTACCTTATCCAACTTCCATCTAACTCACCAAGACCCTACCTTATCCAACTTCCATCTAACTCACCAAGAGTTCAGTTCTCTACCTGACGCTTTTCTCCAGTACTTCCCTGGTCCCCTAGTATGTCTCTATATTTTAATCTCCCCTCCCCTGTTTTCATTATCCAGTGCTTATACCAATCTTCTAAAATATAAAGTCATTCATACCAATCTTCTCAGTGGCTTCTCCATGCACTTGGGCTATAAAAGTCGTTCCACTTGGGTCATGACTGTCTGGGGTTCTGTTTTCCTATCCCTTTCTTTTCTGGATAGCTCTATCATGTAGCTTTCTGAATAGATCTTTCTGTAAACATGTCCAGGCTATCTCTGTCTGTTTCTACCTTTCTCACAAGGTATATTTATTTACCTTTACTCATTCCCTATGGGGTACATCAAATATTAATGCCTCACAAATGTTTTCCTGACCTCTCAAACATAAAACAACTAAGAATCTATTTTTTCTAATAATATTTGCCATAATTTATCATTACATGCTTGTGTTTACAAAATATTTTCTTGTCTATAAACACATTCACATCACCAACGGCAGTTTATTCTTGTCCGCCCTCTGCACCATGCATCTTGTTTTACTCTAGCATATACTAGCTGGTTAACAGCATCTCCCATCCAATGAGTGGATGCTAACAGAAACTGCCTTGTTCTCCACTAATGTAGTAGAGTTACTTGGCTACATATGCATTATTCAGGTTAGAAAGTTGGAATTTCCCAAATTTGACTATTGAACTTTTTTGGGCATGGGGTGGGATGACTTTTGGAACAGAGTATCATTCCACAGCTTAGGTTTGCTGGGACTCAATGCAAAATTCAGGGTGGGCAATTCTTTTGCCTCAGCCTCCTGATGGGATTATAGCATGAGTCACAACACAAGACTAGGAGTTTCAGACCTAAAGAAACATCATCAGGATATTGGTTGCTCTGTTTTTCTCCCTTCTCTTTCACTACATGAAACAGCAATAATAAAAAAGTCAAAGAACTGAGTTTCCTTTAGATTTAAATTTTCAAAATCCCATATAAACTGGGACTAATGGTGGACAAAGGTTCTTATATCTAACTTAAGAACCTCTAGGTTTAGATGTCCACTTGAATTCCATATCTACAAATGACATTATTTAAAAATGTTCATTATCTTATCCTCCAGTTGTAAAATTAAAATTACCTATTTTAAGTATATGTAGAAACTATGGATTTTTATAGCTTAATAAACATTTGCTATTAAGACTTTAAATTAGCAAGCAAAAAGATATAAAGTAAGTCATATCTTCCATCTGCTCATTGGAGCTAATTATCCAGCTATACACACAGGAAGCCTATTACATCAGCTATAACAAGTAGAAATATTAAACCTGTCTCTTGTCATATGTGTTTGAACAATTTAGAAAGAAAAAATAATGATCAAAGATGCCTGGTAGCCGATACGTCATTTTGGCTTGGTCTTCTAAGACAAAGATGATATAAAAAGGTAGAGAGGAGGGCAGGAGAGACTGGGGAGCAAGAAAGGTCTGTGTAGTCAGAAAGGTGGAAATAAAGAGAAGACAGAATAAGTACAAAATCATTTTGGGTGAGAAGATCATGAATGAGTTGGATAAGAGAAATCCAAGGCAAGTTTTAGCCAAACACTATATATCACTCTCCAAAACACTTCTATATACTTTACTGTATGGTCCTCACAATCGCCCTGTAGAGCAAGCAAGTTATACTTTACTTCCTCTAAGACTGAGGCATCATGGGACCAGGTGAACAAAACCACTTTGGTCTGGCACTCAAAGCCTTCCACATTCATGATTCTGCTTCAGTGTCATCCGTCCCATTTCCTGTAATCCAGAAGAGGCAACGTTCCTCATGCTATTTCTCCCTTTCCTACCATGGTCACCGTGTGGTCAAATGTCTCCTCCTCTTCAGGCTCAGCTTACATCTTTACTCTCAAAATAGCCTCTCTGGATTGCAGGAAGTTAATTATTTGTCATCTCCTCAAGGCAGACACTATGCTAACTGCTGAGGGAGACAGGAGGAAGGAGACAGCACAAACATTACATACACTCCAACATGAAGGCCAGCAGTAACTGCCATCTCTAAATGTGAGACTTTTTATCAAAATTTAATTGTTAGCTTCTCCTGGAGAGGGAAACCACATACTTTACCATGAATAAACAAGAGAGAAAGGCCTGGATCCCACAGTATCCTTAGTGGACATGTTTCAGTGGTCTAAAAGACTTCTACAAGGTCCCACCACTTCCATGTACTGGATGTGAGGGAATGAGCATTCTAAAACTCGGCTATTTGGAGAGACCTTATCCAAATCACAGCAGGTACTTCTGCATCTTTTCCCTTAGGATTGATTAATTTCATCATTACAGAGCCATCAAAAGTCATGATATTTTAGTAATAAAGCCAGGCACATTATTTGGAAATGATTTTGTAAGCTACATCATAATCATGATACAAGTTGCAATTCAGATAGAAATATATAAACCACAGGGAAATAACTTTAGAAGGTCAATTACTTAATGCATGTTTAAGATAACAGTTGTAGTAAAAAAAAAAAAAAAAGAATACTTCTACAAACAAGTGAATTGCATTTTATGGAAGTTAACCTTGCCTGTAGATTTACTGGAAGAGTTATATTATGACTATAAGATTCACTCCTAATTTCATATTGTAGAAACTTAAATCACTCTGGCTACCTTTATTAAATACGTAAAGTTTTAAGAAAATATTAGTGTAAGCTAAAGAGGCCTATTTTGTAAATATATAAAAAAATTACCCAAAGCACATAAAGAAAAAAATTTGTTTTTATTCCTATTTTCCAAAACCTTGGCATAAATAATATATAGCAGACATTTCTGACAGTTTTTAACTTGAGTTAATGCACATTTGAATACTGTTATAGTAAAAATAAATAACATTTGATGATACACAGTATTTTAAGAGGAGAATAAGATGTCAATATTTGTAAAATTCACTCACTCCTTTGGGCTGATTAAGACATCCTTTCTGGGAAACAGGAATTGTAAAAGGAGCTTTTACTTTTGTCCCCTGGCCCCAAGTTCCTGTTTTGTAACTGAATTGATGAAAATCACTGACAATGGCAAATTTCAGCTAGTAGTAACAGATACAAAGGTTTCCTGAATTCTCAATTCATTGCCTGTACTAGCCCTCTGTGCTTGGACTGGGAAGAAAACACAAAGCTGGATTAGGTGGTCTTGAACTACATGCATACAGGAATGAAAAGAGATTTAATTAAAAACAAAAACCACATTTGTGTCAAACCTGCAAACTTGAAAAAGCCAATATAATCTATTTCTAGCACGCAGGGCTTCACTCT